GGTAGAGTAGAACAACAGTGTGAGTTACCTCACCCACACATTCCTCATGTCATTACCCACACTTATGTGTCTTAACTCACACACAAATAATTTGTCCTTGATTAATCATCACCCATCCTCACTCACACTCATTTGTCCTCAATAAATCATCCATCCTCACACACAGTCCTCATTTGTCCTCAAATCAATATTCATTTGTTTTCAAGACGTCAGCAATCAAACATCTGTACCACCCCTTTTTTAGCCACACATAAATATGTGTAGAAAAGAAATAAATAGATCCACTTATTTACAGGGGGGAATATTTTCTCGATTTCAGCACAGCCGAGTGTTCGACATTTAGCATGCGACTTCTCAAAGTGGGACAAGATGATAAACGTATCTATCATACCCATACAAGATGGGGGAAAATAACTGCTCTGGAGTAAGAAAAACATGGATGCTCATCAAAACAAGTTGCTGTCAGACTTAATCAACGATGACCCAGACAGATTCGCTCGAAGATTGCATCAAACTATTCTAGCGGGACATCGCAAGATGAACGAGTGTCTGGCCATGCTCACAGCAGCCAGACAGCCTGATCGCCTCCATGTTTTAAGGAACTTCCGCGACGACGACGGAAACACTCTCCTCCACGTGACGGCCATTTTTCACAAGAAAACCGACCTGCTCAAGCAACTTCTTCGGGCGTGTCCGTGTCTTCTGACGGAGCCCAGGGTTGGGGAGTTCAAAGGTCAAACCGCCTTACACATTGCCATCGCGAAGGGAAATAAGAATGCTATTCAGGTCATCCTACAACAAGCTAAAACAGAAAATCCAGCGGAGCTAAGAAGACTGCTTCACATGCCCGCAGTCGGGGTCAAGTTCAAGGACTCGGCCATGGCGGGAGAGATACCACTGACGGTAGCAGCCTTGACATTAAACCAAAGCATTGTACTCTTACTATTGGAAGCCGGCGCAGACTTGCTGGCTATAAATAACCAGGGTGACACGGTCTTTCATAGCCTGATTAAGTTTGCAGAAAATAAGGAAAGACTGGAAGGCATCCTCAAAATGATGCTCTTCCTAAACAAGCATCTGACCGGCAGTCAAAAACCTGAGCGCAGCACAGTCAACAAAACCAAAGTATACGGCCTCTGGCACGTGGAGAACAGGCAACACCTGACCCCGCTCAAACTTGCCGCCACAACAGGCCAGATCGAGATCTTCTCCACGGTCCTCAACCTGGGCTACAGCTTTCTGGACAAGCACGACGGCGTCTTCGACACGCACCTCGTGGACATCACGGAAATCGACACGGTGACCCAGCACAACTGGACCTACAAAAAACTGACCACGGCGGCCGGCGGGAGGAACGTACTACGGTGGCTGGGGAAGAGATTCACCAGCAGAAGACCCATGTCCGTGCTTGAGATCACAGGCAGCCTCGGCTCGAGACAAGCCATGCGACTTCTCGGCTCGCAAGTGATTCAAGATGTTATTAAAATCAAATGGCTGTATTACAAAAAGGTTTACTGGGTCTGGTTGTTTTTTCACATGGCGTTCATGGGCACCTTCAGCTGTTACGGCTGCATTGTGGGTAAGGCTGCTCCGCCTTTGAACAATACCCAAACCACGATATATCATCTTGGAAACGCCACGAATTCTTCTATATCTTTTCTGACACCCGATGTTGATACTTCAACAACAGACCACAAAACATTCACATCAGTCTTTTCTTTTGTTAACCTCGCATACGGTGCCATCCTGATATTACTAGAAACGTGGAGAACTTGTTTCCTCAGACAGCCATGGTACTTTAGACTGACTCACCACAACGCCTCCTACAGGCTGATACTGCTTATATTTTCATGCAGCCTTGTAAATGACTTTGTACTCTACAAAATCAACCAGCATGTCCCTTACCCTCAACTCGTAGCCACGGTTCTAGGCTCGTGGTTTCTAACTTTTTTCCTCCGGCCCCACAAAAAATTCTCCTTCTACACGGTCATGTTCCTGAAAATTTTAACCGGAGACCTCCGAAGGATTATCTTCATTATAGTCCCTGTGCTGCTATCGTTTTCCCTGGCGATTCACATCGTGCTTGCACCAACACAGACAGACAACCAGTTCCACCAATTCAGTACTTCCATATTAGCCATGTTCAAACTCATGCTGGGGCTCCAAGACATTGAGATTCTGCTCGACGCCAAAGAACCCTGGCTGGCGGTGACCATCTTCGTCCTGTTTGTCCTGATGACCAACATCCTGCTGGTCAACTCTCTCATTGCCCTCATGTCCCAGACGTGCAAGGTGGTATCCCAAGACAGACACACCCAGTGCCAGCTGCAGACACTCCTGGTTGTTCTTTTCATAGAGACCATGACACCATTTACAGCCCCGAGCAAACTTTTCAGAGAGAAGGAGACCAGGTTGTACGACGCAAAATCTAAACACATAACCACTGAGTCTAGATACTTCTTACCTGTCCAAACAGTGCAAACAGAATATTCCAACGGTAAAGCCATCCTTAACAGGAAAAATATTGTAAGAACACAGGGATTTGGCAACACAGCTCTAGGCAACACAGCTCTGGACTACACACTAGCTGACTCTTCTACCTCCAGTGATGAGGATATGCCTGAGACATCTCCCAGACTACCCACAAGTGATACATCACGAACATCATACCCGGAAATTGACCAGATAATACCAACAAGCCAATCAGACCAAGAGAACAAAAACAACCAATACCACAGGCCCTTATTTGAAAAAAAAGCACCTCACAAAGACAAGGCAGAGAAAAGAAGAAGAAAATTTCCACCCCAATGTAGGAAAGCCAGTATTGCTCCTATAAACACAGAGCCCATTTATCAAACAGTGCTGCCTAAGAAACAAAGAAATATTGCTGCTAATGTACATAGTGACACAGGCATCACCAAGTCATACAAAGACTCTGTCACAAACCAGCAACATCACAAACCCCATTGCACATTTGTTGATTTTAATAAACCAGAAGAAAAGCAAATCCTAATTGACCCCACAAACAAATGTTTTATTGACGCAGCAACCCAGACAACACCAGAGTATGTTCCACTGCCAATGCTGATAGAATCACCACTTGAAATATCAGACACACCATTGAACCTGCCACCAACACCAGTAACACTTTCAGAACCAGTGAAATCATCAGAAACACGACTGGGCCTGTCAGAAAAACCACTGCTAATGTCAAAAACGCCTGTGAAACTATCAGAGAGACTCATGAAACTGTCAGAAACACCATTGGCAATGTCAGAAACACCATTGGCAATGTCAGAAACACCATTGGCAATGTCAGAAACACCATTGGCAATGTCAAAAACACCATTGGCAATGTCAGAAACACCATTGGCAATGTCAAAAACACCATTGGCAATGTCAAAAACACCATTGGCAATGTCAGAAACACCATTGGCAATGTCAAAAACACAATTGGCAATGTCAGAAACACCATGGGCAATGTCAAAAACACCATTGGCAATGTCAAAAACACCATTGGCAATGTCTAAAACACCATTGGCAATGTCAGAAACACCATTGGCAATGTCAGCAGCACCAGACCCAAGAACACAAGCACTGGTTATCCTACAAGCACCAGCAGCAGACAAAGCCTTCAGCAGAACAAGCACCCATCCAGCCAGCCAAGTATTTATTCCAGAGATCTATGATTTCAACACTGAGCATTAGGGCAGAACCAAACCTAACCATTTGGTATCGTTATGAATGTGAAAAACTAAAAAATTAGCTCAAAAAACTCTTTCAGAAAGTTTTTAAAAACATAAAAATATTCCCAAATATTTGTTATTACTTTAATATCAGCTACTGTCATATTCTCAGAATTTCATTGATGTAAAACAGGGGTCTCCAAACTTCGCATTAACTATCAAATTTCAGTTCAGGGGCCAGTTTCTTCCAGGCATGTCTTTGATTTTTCTGGGCAAAGTTCCTCAGCAATCACCGACAAACGATTTTTCCTTGGACAAAAAGATCGCCGCGGGCCGGATGAGACGACTTCGCGGGCCGCATCCGGCCCGCGGGCCGTAGTTTGGAGACCCCTGATGTAAAACTTTGCATTAGTCTAGAGTTTTATTGTCATGTGATTATCAACAATAGATTAACTTGCATAAACCAATAGTTATATCTGGTGGAAAAAACACTTCAGCAAGAGCTTAAATCCCCTACCTTGGCTACCTGTTAGTAGTCAAAGCAACCAATCTTAACTCATACACTAAAGACACCTTTTTTAGTTTTTGTTATTAATTTATCAAATGTTTTGTATCTTTCTGTATGGTAACATGCAATGCTATTAGATTTATTATTAGCAGTTAAGTTGGCAGAATTGTTTTAAGTGATGAAAAATTGCAAGATGAAAAATCTCAAAAATAAATATGTGTGCCTTAACAAGTATATTTAACCCTGGGACAATTGTGTTGGGATGTTTGTGTTCAGTTCTGTTTATCTTTTTCAGCTTTGTTGTAGAATGAAATACTGTGTCTGTGGATGTTTTGTTTGATATGTTTGGTTTGTCTGAGTTTAATGTTTTGAGGATATCATTGCCTAAACTTATGGAAAGGTGATGACCCAAGAGCATCCAAAGAGGCACCACTGACCTGGCTTTCAATTTATCAATGTGAAATAATGGTTTTGAGTTAGATTTTTAAAAACCAGGGCTGGGAGCCTCGGGTTTTGTAGAGAGTCCTTCAACTGAAGGCAAGCACAAACCGAATACCAGAAGGGTAAGTTTTGTCTGAAGTATCATTGGCTGCCTCTTGAAACAATCATCAACCAGATCAATTAGAAACAGATGTTGGGTGTTGATTTAAAATTGAGTTCAATAATTCAGATACATGAGGTATTTTGTTTACATATCCGATTTTGGCATGCAAGTGTAATGGGTTAACTATAACAACCTACCAAAAAAAATTTGCATGGTTTTATCTAACTGTAAGAAGAAAAAAAAAAGGGAAATAATATTTTACCATCAAATGTGTTGTTATGGCCATCAGTTTCCACTATCAAGGTGCTGTTATCTTTTAATAAAAGTGATTGAAAGGAAGCAGCAGCTGTTCTATCAACAGGCAGGTCACACTGTACAGTGTATTTGCAATTAATGACTTTTCCTGAATTGTTTGAAATTAAATACAGTGGTGAGTTGATTTGATGTTCCCATGTATCCTGAACAGTAATTTGGCAGTCTGGAGAAAAAAAATCAGGACAAAATTACTGAAAATGTATAGACCCCAAAACTGAAATGGAATAGAATGAGGTAGAATCTAATTAATATTACAATGCCCCAATAGGTAACTTAGTGACATGCACTCTACTTAGTGTTCTCTGTTTAATGTTATCTCTCATAGCTTGAAATTCTAAAACCCATTTCATAATAATTGAAGTGGAAGCAGAATATTAATCCCCCCCACCCCCATTATTATTTCCATATTAATTACACCCCCTGCCCCAAATAGCAGTGGGACAATACCCGCCTTCCTAATTACTAATTGACCGTATACCTAATATGGTTAGGGCAGTAGCATCACTAGGTAGGATGTCAGCTATCGCTGTGGTTGAGGGTGTCACCCCAAACCATTCCAACAACTTAAAATTTTCACTTCCTGTCGCCCCTCTCCCTCACTTTTAACGTTAAAAAAAAATATTTAACAATTATTCAATTTGGCGTCATCCCCTAAATGGTGTCTGGTGAATCGCGTACAACCATAGGATAGGGCTATGGTTAGGGAGCTGGGTTTGTGGGTGATGAAAAAGTGTAAGTATATGTATTAGGTATAACTTTGGCTCACTGCATTATATCACATGAAACAACAAAGGTTCGCCGTTATACATCTAGGAGAGACTAAAATAAAACTAATCCCTCAACTCCCCATACAGGCACATGCACACTACCCCCACTGGTGTAAAGATGCTCACAATGAGTAGCCTACTACTTTTTGCCCACATCCCTTCTCATTGAAAATAGTTATTTTATAACTTATCACATTATTAATGTGCTAGCATTGTTGAGTATTCATCATATTTATACTATCATAACAATGCTATGTAATAATGCATGCATTGATGCATCTTTAACTTTTTAAAAAAACTAGTCATGTTTCTATCTAGTTATTGTATTTTAACATTTGGGTTTGAAAACTTTTATTCAAATTATTCATGTTTAAGTATTCCATCTATTATAAAGACTACTTACTGTGTACATATATTTTTAAGTGATTTTATAAACTTAATGGACTCTTTATTTATCATTATGAAAAAAAAATTATAACTAAAATTTGTAAGTATTATGATAGAGTTTGTATACCTGTGTTGTAATTTAACTTAAAATCTTTTTTGGTCTTCAAGGTAATATTGTTACTGAAGCCAATGACAACTTGGGAGTCAACTGAAAACCAAAAAAAGTTGAAATATTAATTTATTACATTATATAAAAACAATAACCTAACAAAACAAAAACAGAAAAAAACGTAAACTGAATGATTTGCAGACTAAATTCACCACAATACATGGCTATGCCATGCCTGACAACCCCCCCAACCTTTCACCAAGATAGTGTTATTTCCCTTGCAGTGGACAGTGGTAATTTTGGTCCTGCCATGGATGTACCAATTTGTCACTGGTCAAATCTGAATGCTGAACAGTATCATGTGATACTAAACTAAAAATAAAGGGTAGTCAAAACCCCAATACACTGCTTTTGGCCTTATACACCACACTTCAAATTAGTGTAGCATTATTATATTGTGCTTATTTAGTTGATTTTTATTCATTTATTTTTTAGACCCTTCACAATTATTAGACTAAATGATATTGCAATTTCCTATTCATTCTTTTATGATATGCTCTGCATTTTATTGAATCACAGAGGACCTTATACTGTGCCCATGCATTTAAATCTGCTATGCTGTACATCCATGTTAGTGCTGGGCAACATCTATAACCAGGTCATACAAGATCATGCTGTTCTTGGGTCCTCATTAACCTAACCATTAATTTATGTAATTTTTATACTGTTCTTTGTTTTAATTTCTACACTTACAATCATTCATTATTCTCTAGTATACCTCTTTAATTGTGCTCTTTACCAGCCATAAGATTATTGAAATTATTATATATATAAAATAATCACTTCTAACTTTATGAAAATGAAAATGAAATTGATTATTTATATTACAAAATAATACCTAAAAAATCTCTTACCACTCTTTGTAAATTTAAGACTACTAGTTGAATTGTCCCAGATCTCTAAGTAATCTCCATTTATCAGCTCCAGATTCTGAACATAAAATGCAACACCATTGGTACTGTTGAGCTTAACTGTGTAATTTTGACATTTTGCGTTGAATTCTATTGTGCCTCTTGGTTCTGTACACACACAATTATCACAGCCTAAAAAGAAATTTAAAAAAAAAAGAATGTACAAAGAGTAAAATAGTTTTACTCTCAACAGTGGTAGGCCAGTAGTCAAATGTAACACTATGTTATTCATTATCACATAATGAATACTTTGATTATAATGCAATAATTGCAGTTGTTTTTGCATAATAACTGCTTATTACAAATGCTTAATTAACCTTTACAAGAAGGCACCATTAAAATGTACTTGTAGCATTCTCAAGATAAATTTTGTAACACTAAGCATATCTAATAGTTATTTTGCATGCTTATATTAAATGAGAGAGTATAGTTATGAAGGTAGAGCACATGACTGTTAAGATCAAATTTTACTCCATCTGTCCTATGGACCAAATTATCTAAATGGGTAATTTAGAAATTTTTCTAACAATAGAATATTAAGGAAGTTGTTCTTACCATAAAATATTCATCATTTTTACCACACACTAACATACATTATTAGATGTTCTTAACTGTAAAATATTTATCATTCATACCACACGCAAACAGTAACAGAAAGCTTACCACTTGCAGCGGTGACCATCACAACAAAAACCAGCAGCCAAATATAAAATTTATTCTCCATGACAGGTAGTTTATTTTATTATTTGTCTGCAATGAATAAAAAAAATTTAAGTTAACACAAATTTCAAAATTTCTCAGTCAGACTGCATATATTTTATAGTTTGTAAGAAAGTGTTAACATGGCTGTAGAGAGTAGATAGAGAGACTAGGTATCTCAAAGTATTTTTGTGTATACTGTATTATTGTTCTTCTAGATTTTCATCCTGGTTTAGTTATAACTGAAAATTACCTCATGTTAATAAATAGCCCCTAGTCATGAGTGAATTCAGTTATGTAGCTATAAAAACTAGATATATCTATTTTATGATATATTCTACTTCCATATTATTTTATGATACATTCTACTTACACATGTATGCCCATGCCCTATACTATATATTATATAACTAATATTAATATATATAGCCCTACGCTCTACTCTCAACTGTAAATGTAATCATCAGGATATATAAGTATAATGAATAATGAGTGAAAGAGCAACAGGTAATACATTCTTATCTTTTCTAGTATTTTATAGATGGCCAATCAATATAGTAGTAGGCCTATATAAATATAATAATAGGCCTATAGATCTAAAAATTAAGAAGGCTATCTCTAGATCTAGAATATTCTAATTCCAGTCATACACAACTAGAATACAGATCTGAGTACACACAATAGCCACAGGGGGTAATGGCCTGCTGCAGGATTCATGTTGCCAGAAAAAGTGCTAGATCTACACTACATTACAAACTTAAACAGTACAGTTCAGTGAACTATCAATTTAAACTATTTAGACTTTTTTAGACCTAGTATCAATAAATCAATGAGAATGTATGGGCAAAAAAAAATTGAGAATTTTAAATAAGCCTATGCTAGTTAAATTAACACTAGGCTTAAAATCAAGTAACCTGGCCAGTACTCAGCTGTGTAGTGTAGACTCTATACTCTATAACATAAAAAATAATATGGATGAACATTAGGCTCCTAGGTCCCAAGGTCTAGATCTAGATTCTTGTATAGAAATAAACCTAGTAATAGTAGTAAGTAAGTATAGCCTATAAGTATAGTATAAGTATAGGCCCACTACGTCACTACTGCACTGTAGGTCTGTTCAAAAATTATTAATAAGTCAGTATTGTTGTCTTGTGTGTAGATCTAGGGCCTAACTAACTATTGGTAATCTATCGTTTTAGGTACGTAAAATCGCCAGCGACTAGTAATGTACGAAAAAGTTACCTTATTGTCAAGGCTTTATTAGAAGTATATTGTGATATATTTGTGTCAAATATTATAGATAAATGAATAATAAACCTAAATCAATGGCTAAATATATCAATATAGGCAAGAAATTAACTTTAAACAGCAGTGTTTGCAAGCAGGATTTGCTATATAAAAAGCGTCCATCTGTAAGTTAGAGTAGCTGCCCCTGAATCTTGCACTATAAGTTAACAATAAAAAAAATAAACAAGATGGCTGCTATAGTAAATGAGCATGGTTGCATCTGTTGGAAACATCGCTAGTCTTCATTTATTACTGAAACATATACATAAATGAAACAAGAAAACATTTTTGTATTTTTCAAAACATAAATCCTCCTCAAAATGTGAAATAATTATTAAAATTTAAGGAGTCACCTGTTTTTCACATTACTAGTCGCAGGCAATTTTACGTACCTAAAACGATAGATTACCCTAACTATAGGCCCTAACTAATAAAGATCTAACTATTTTTTACTATTTAGATCTAGAAAATCTAGATCTAGATCCGGAGTCTAGAGTCTAGTATACTATACTGTAAACTATAGTACTACTATAGTACTATACTATTATACTTTAGGGCCTATACTATTTAATAATACTTACTACTCTACTTAGATCTAGTATACTATTAGTATTACTAATACTAATAACTAACTAACTAACTTTTTACTAAGAGACAACAATAGTAGTTTACAATACTGACTTATAATAATACACTCACTCACTGTTAATCACTGTCTGTTATGTGTCTAGCTAGCTAGACATAGGAATCTAGAATCTAGGATCTATACTATTTACTATACTATACAGTTACACTATACACTAGTAATGTAGTAAATGTATACGTATACTATTATACACATACACTGGTCCTACTACACAGTGACTACACTCAATAATACACTGAAACACTGCTTCACTTATGTCCTCTTATGTCAAGCCCAAACCAGCACACAAGTCACAACACAACTGGACTAGATCTAGAAAATCTAGATCTAGATATCTCGATCTTGATCAAGATTCTAGATCTAAATCTAGATCTAATATAAGTATGCCTATTTAGATCTTTAGATATTTACCAGATCTAGAATCTACCATATGATTGACATTCGGCGTGAAAGATAGAAAGTGTATTTACTGGAAAATAATAGTCACGAGCCGAATTTTATTCCAAGAACCGGTGCTCATAACTTTTATATCCTCTGTATTAGTATCCGCTAAACTGTTTGGTACAGGGGTGTGTGCAAATCGAAATCTTGAGGGGGGGGGTGCACATCGAAAGTTTGAGGGGGCTGCAAATCAAAAGTTTGAGGGGGCTGCAAATCGAAATCTTGGAGGGGGGGGGGGGGGGGGTGCAAATCCCGGCCGCCGGGAAGGGTTGTTACGCCTCTGTATACTATACTGTCAAGATTGCTATATACATCCAGTACTATACCTTATACTCCTATACTGACATACTGCCTTGTTGTTTGTTGTTCCTTTGACCAACATATCCCATATTACGTTACAATTCTGGGAACAAACCCTATACACACATGGTCCTACACTTTTTGTCACAATTTCGTAGGCTTACTAGATCTAGATCTGCAAAAACTGTCTTACTTTGAGAATTCATCTTTGTACAGAAAACACATGATTGTTTCATTTTCATTTAAAACAGCTGTAAATTAAGTCTAAACTTAAAAAGGAAAATTAATAAGTCTGTTTTAATTTATCATCAAGACATTCCAAATGGCAGTGGCGTAGCAAGGTTGGGTGTCACCCGGTGCGGCACTTAATGGTGTCACCCCCCCCCCCCTTCCCGGGGACAAACTTTCAAGTTATCGATTTGCACCCCCCCCTCAAACTTTCGATTTGCACCCCCCCTTCAAGTTTTTCTCTATATATTTTGCTATTTTATGCCTTGGTGTCACCCCCTAAATGGTGTCACCCGGTGCGGTCCGCACCCCCCCCCCCTCGCTACGCCCCTGCCAAATGGCAATTTTTGCAAAACAAACAATAAAGAAAATCAAAGTGTTAAAACCAGTTCAACAGCCTTAAACAAAACCAAAACCCTACCCCAAATAACATGATCACAACATGATAACTGTTTTTATGTCTTATGATGTGTGCATGATTACTTATGGTGCTGCTTTTTTTTTTTTGGTGCCATGCCATGTCAGTTACAAAACAGAACCAATAACAATACCCTAACTAAAGTAAGAAGCCCTAAAAAAAGGCTAAAAACAAAAGCTGATGACAATACAACTCCCAGTTGACTAAATGGCCTGTGAGAATAGGACACACAACAAAATAACTTCTGTTTATTAACAACACTCAACAAAATCCTCCACAATACTTTGGCTCCTACAATATAAGCTCTTAATCTAAGGTACCTATGATAAATAAAACAAGTGCATAAATGCAATAGGAGTTGAGTGTACATCAAAAACTTAACAGGAAACTAAGTTGTCTTCTTGAATTATTTGGGGGAGCTGCATGACCTTTGACATCTTAATAAGAGGCTAATGCTTCCAAGGAATAGTGAGATCTTTTTATGGCAGAAGATTAAAATTTGGAAGGTTAATCTTTGCTGGGAGCAGTGTTTCTTTCAGGCAGCTCTTCAAAGGTGGGGGGGGGGGGGGGCAATTCCCCCTGAAGCACGTCTAACCCCCCCCCCCCCCCCCATCTCCCCAAGCAAAAAATAATTTAGAAGCTTTGTACTAACACTAGAAATTATTCCAATTGTGCATTCCTGACAAAACAGTGAGTTGGGTAAGCTCAGTTTTTATGTCCTCATGATACACAGAGGATCAGCAACCCATTCATGCGCTCAGGGCTAACTTTCAATTTTGAGCTCCTCTCCCCATTCATAAATACATGTATAGTTATTCACTTTGGCAAAAAAGACATTTATATATAGTTATTCACAAAACTGATAAATCCGTACGGAAAGCCAAGTAGTGTTCTTAAAGTTGACTGTGTATATTTCAGAAATGCAGCGTAGAATGAACTTTTTATTTTTTTCTACCCAGTCTGGCGCACCCAAAGGGTTGGCACCAGCGCTACACCTGTACTGAAAAATTAAACATCTATCATTATATTTCCTTATTCTGCAACTGCACATCCATTGTCACATGATCTGGAATTTTAAAAGCAGAGATAAACATTTATGAGCTTATTTCATTTGGGGACAAACCCCCTTTCCAATGAAAAGCCCATTTTAGTTGGAAACCAAGCAGCCAAGTCCACCAGCTCTAGCCTGGGACCAAATTGTAGATGCGAGTCCATACATACATTTGTACATATTACATATATTTATTTATGTAACTACCAGTTTAAGAACTGGTTTTAAAATGTGTTAATTGTGGTAGGTAACCAGGTATATGAGGTGGGTGACAGACAGAGAATAAAAACAACAATAAAATTCTGAAATATTTATGATATTTGATTTATTAAAGAAAAACAATGCTTTTTCCTGATTGAAGTAAAAAAGGGCTCAATTTTGACAATCATAAGAATAAACTAAATATTTTGACAGTCATAAGAATAACTAAATGTAATTTCTATTAATTTCAATGGTCCAGTACAAGAAATTTTAAAACTATCTAAATCACTCTTTTAAAAAACCTTGGCTGTTCATTTATGCTTGTATGTTTTAATGTGCTATATTGTTCTCAAGAGATTGGTCCTTAAGTTCAGATTGTAATTTAATTTTCTTAACATTTTCCCCTCTCATTATTTTGTGGGCAATTATTATAAAGCACAAAACAAGCTAATCACACCTTTATAACAATCAGTTTTTATAAAATCTGATTGTCACATTTAAAAGTAGATCTATTCAAAAGACTTTATTTAATCATGTAAACAAGTTATTAGAATGTAAAATAAGATCTTTGCCAATGGTATTAAACATATCATGGCTTATAAAACATCTATTTAAAAAGTACAATACATTATGTGAGAAGAAAATTTTTACAGCACTTATAGGTATAGTCACCCCACCCCCTCCCACTGTTATCTTTAGTAAAATGTAACAAATGTAATTTTTTATTCACTGTTTAATAATTTTAATTAAAAAATTGAAACAGTACAAGAAATCTTATAAAATGTAAATATGATCTGTTTCCCAATATGTTAAAATGTGTAACAAAGATGTATAATTTATTAACACTTTTAACATGGGTGTCAATTTAAGTTCTGATCTAGTGATCTGATGTAAACTATTTCAGGCACTACTTAACTTGCCAATAAAATGAATTTATAATGTTGTCTAGACAAGTAAAATATACAGTAAGTGTTAGGACATTATAATCGGCACAAAAAAACACTGTTGCTTATTTCTTTCAAATTTGCAAATATTTACAAAGTAAAATACAATCACAATTAGGTTAAAAGGGTGAATATTTTTTTAAACATATCCCTATGCAAAAATAAAGCAAGGTAAATAAATGTATGTGTACATCAATATAAATAATTATGTATATAATCTACAGAAAGGAATTCTTATTTTTAGTGCAAATTCTAACTTTATACTAGAATATAAAGCAGTTTCAAATTGGTGCATAGCTTTTACTGTATTCTGTTTTTCTTTTCTTTAATGGCATGGAAAATATAACACTTCATTGTGATGATGCCCCTACACTTCAAGATACCAGAATACCGTATCACCCACTGAGGGGACCAAAGCTCACTATCACGCTCAGTTGAGACCCCAAGTATTGTTTCTTGCAGCTTTGCCCTTGAAATAAAAACTGCAAAGGATATTTAAAACAAAAGTTATTTAACATTTAATTTGAAAATAAACTATTTTAAAATGTAGTTCAAAAGTATTATTTATAGTCTAAGAAGTTACTCTTTTGGATCTAGTGGTCAGTACGACAGATAAAGTTGAGTTCTTCTTTTTCTGTGACTTTGGCATATGAATAGATAGTGTGGTCACGTCTATGCCCAGCAAAACCTTACATTACCAATGTTGGTAAGTTACCATTGGAGCAAGCTGAGAAATCCCATTGGACTAGAGCCTAGGATCTGAACTAGAGACTTTCAGGGTAGCAGTCATGTGCTCTACCACCCAACAACACTATCTTATTCAAAAGTGAGTAGTAATTAATATTTACAATGTTTACTAACAAAGTACTGAATGTCGTATGCATACTGTTACCATCTGTTATACTACATATGCATGTATTTTAATTAAAATAACAAATAGCTTCAACTTTACTGTTTGAATATGTATTTACAAAATGTACATACTGGTCCATAAGTAGACAATTTATGGAAACATTTTAAAGGGGGTATAGGACTGGATTTAAGGGACATGGGAAGTTTCTATCACCTTTTTTGTACAATGAACAATAAAACTTGAGTACTCACTAATGTGATGACAGTTGTGTAAATAAATATTACAGTGACATTTTAAAAGCATTTTGTCACAACAGTGTTGGGGATATTGACAGCTTATAGGATATAAATGAGAGTATACTGCATGACATATAAAGTACATACTATGTATAAAATATATACTGTGTACATATATAATTATAAATGTGGGTTTTTTTACTACTAAGTGGAATAGCTAAAATATTTGAGGGCATAAGTATAAATTAAAAAATTTTAATATGAAATTTTATTTCATGCCATAAAATAAAGCTAGAAACTCATGCTATAATTACACTTCAAACTGAATGATTTTGTCAAAAAAAATAATTTTAAACATATAATATACCTGGCTTATCATTGTGTGTTAGCAACTGTACATTGACAGACTTGGCATATTCTGTCAAATCTTGAGGCATCACACAACAGGACTCCAGATTAACTTGGTCAATGCTAGGTTTTACCTGATTTTTAAATAAAGATGTGTAAGAAAATGTATGTCATAGACATTAGCTGTACTTTGAAATTTACTGTAGGACAATAGAAAACAGAATCTTCATTTTATATCTATATCCTTGTTAGGCTTATGGCAATATAGATAGGAGCAATAGAGCCTAGTCGGAAAAGTACCATATAAATCTAACTTATATTTCTAAGAGCCACTTAATACAAAGAAAACCAAATGTCTGCATTGACAGTATTTGAACACTTATCTCAATGCATATATTTTATTATTTATGTCCAAGTTCTTGAAATGTGGTTTGTAAAAACAGGCTGAGTAATGCTTAGTCTCTTAGATATGTCAGCAAAATATGATATGGAATAAGTCAGGAAGCAAACCTTTGCCCAATTATAAAGATCTTCCAATGACTCTTTATTGAGATCACAAATACCAAGGGAAAGAACTTTGTCTGAAGCAACCAACTCCTCCATAGCCTCCCAGTATGGCTGTAAAGTTTTCAAGCTCACCTGGAAAAGATATGAAAGATGAGTTAAACAATATATTCAAGTTTAGGAAACATAACAGAGATTATTTACAAGTTTGACTTGAGACTCAATGCAGTCATAAGTAATATCTCAAATATTGCAGGGGAGATGAAAAAATCTATACAACTATCTTAATCTTCAATGTGCTACTCAAATGCTCCAGAGAAAGTTATTTTTTTTTAAATTTATGAATAAAATTCCTAAACCATATAAAGTACACACAGCTCTGATGGGGGCCTCACTGGCATTAAAGAAAGTAAAGTTGGCTGGGCATAATGCTGACCACATTATGTCTTCAGAAGCCCAGGTCGCAGAAACAGGATTTCCAGGTCAAAAAGGGTAACTTTAATTACATATATGGTAGACAATGCCAGTCTAAATTCAGTAAATTATTATCATCATCATCCCTTAAAAATAACGCTGATTGAGGTTGTCGGGCACCACAGTAGACCTTATAATTCTCCACTATTTATCTTGGTCCTCCGCCATTCTAATTAGTTCTGAGACTTGCAGCCCCGTTATCCTTCCTCTTCTTCTACCTCCTGGCACAGAGCCTTGCAAGATTGTTTTGTATAGGCAATTTACTTCTTCATTAGTTATTTGTGATCTATATCTCTAGAGCAGAGAGAACAAAGAGTTGTTCTACAGGCTCAAACTTGGAACCAAATTAAAAGCAGTACTCACAGACTGGTCATCCTCCTCATCTACACTGGGTGAAACTGACAGCAGTAGAGTCTCCACAAAGTTTGTATTAAGTTCATTAAGAACTGTAAGTAGAAAACAAAAGAATGGGTAGACTGTAGTAGTTTTTAAAACTAATACTATTAGTAATAGTGTATGTATAGATCAATTCCATCACTTTTATTGTACCTCACTAGTAATAGTTTAAAACTAAATAAGTAAACATACATTTTTGGATAAATTTTCTAAAACCACTAGGGTAGTCGGACCTAATATCCAGAAGTGTCGTGTCACACCCCCCCCCCCCCCTGAGGAAGCACCCCACCCCTCAGCAAAATAGAAAAATATTAAGTTTTGTATAAAAAATATATACTTTAATCATTGTCAGCCCCCCTATGAGAAAAAGTTCTTTTTTTATCTAAGGACTGTGCTAAAGCATTTGATGGAAGTTTTTAAATAGCCTTTGAGCAAAGAACATAATTTGACACTGACAGCCAAGCGGAAACCAAAAAATTATTTATTTTGATTTAAAATTCCCTTTCAAATTTTCAAAATGTCAAATAATATGATGTAATATTGTTAACTATCAAAGATTTTACTATTTTAAAACAACAACATATTTTAAGTCTAATAATATTAATATAAAAATCATGTTTTCCTTTTAAATCCATATTTTTATTAAGCAGTATTTTATTTTTAAATGGTGTGAATATACCTTTATCCACTGTTTCATTTATAACAGAACTTGGCTGGTCTCCACAGATAAACACTTTAACAGTAATTTTGACATCCTCTCGTTCATCTTGCTCTAAGACTTTAATATTTTCTGAGTTTTTTGTGTAAAGCTCCTTTACATATTGAAGTTGAGTTTTATCAGCTGACTCCAAATACTCCCCAAGAGTATTGGAGATGCAGTCACATATCTAAAGGAAAAATATAAAAGTTGATCAAACAGATAATTTATAGGTATTACTATAAAATTAAACATTGGTCTAAGCTATATAAAATATAATAGTTAAAAAGTAGGCTCCTATTATTACACTTTGAACATACAACAATATTTTTGGTACAATTTTGTTACACTCTTTCATTAGGCATTTGATTAAGGGTTCGTTACTGCTACAGGAAATATATTGAATAGGCTTAACTAATTGATAGCCCATACTGATGATGTGGACCATAGGTATTAGGCCTCCTTAATAATATTGTAAGTAAAAAAATATAAAAAAGTATTGAGCACTAATAAATATACTATTTGCTGAATATTAATATTAATTTTAATAACTACACTTAAATATAGTCTTAATTATATTATAACTAGTATTAACTAGGCCTAGGCTGTAAGTAGTGTATGCCCTAATTTAGTAATTATGCTAATAATTAATACTAGCCTATTTGTTAGGTAAGTAGTCTAAAGTAAAATAAAATAAAAGATGCCTACTTTAATAAATAACTTTATCTTTGATAAATATTAAGAGGCCTAATTCAAAATCAAATAGGCCTATACTTTATAGTCCTATAGATTTAGTATAAATCTATAGGATAATTGCCATTAATAGGTGATTATAGACCAACTCTTGATTTAGTTGGGGCTAAGCCGGACCTAATCCTAATACTTAATTTTAATAGTAAGATTTAAGATAGTAGTGATAGAGACTTTAAAATTATGAAATATTGGGCCTAGGCTAAATATTAAAAAATAATAAATATGCTTAGGCTTATGTTACTATGTTATGTATGTAGTATGTATGTAAATGTAGGCCAATTGCCAATTATAATAAAAATTTATTTACAATTTACAGGCCTAGTTATAGGCCTAACGGCCTAACCTCACTAAGTTACTCACCTACCTAATCTAATTATTAATTATGAGAAATTAGTTAATTAGTAGGACCTATACTCCCTATACCGGGACTATACCCAATAATTAATTAATCTGATAGACATATTATGATATACAATATAATATATTAGGGGAATTATATTATAATTATTATAAATAGGGACCTAGTAATAGTGAAAAACTCAAAGGACTGTTGTAGCCTAGCACTGGCATACTCCTATTGATTGATACCTGATGTGTTGTAATGTGGGGTGGGGATCAAAGGGTGGATTCTATTATTCCACAGTGACGCCAGTCAGTCACGGTGTCAAATCCAGCCCACTTGTTGAATTCGATCAATAGTTTTTTTATAATTTCATAAATTTAGAATCTAGACTCTAGACTAGCTAGACTAGAATCTAGATCTAGAGGGGGGAATCTAAACTCTAAATCTATTCTGCTTACCTCCTCTGTTGAATTTTGATTTGGCTTTCTCTTTAGTCGATTCCAATTAATTATATTTCCACTGTGAACAAACAAGGACTTTGCCTTAGGAAATAATGGAATTCTATCACTAGACATTCTGCTAAAAGTTGATGTCGCCGTGCTTATGCTTGAGTAGTGTTGGATCCCTGAGAGTTCCTGTTCGACTTTTAACTTGTTTCTTGTTGACATATTTAGATCTTGATCTAGATCTAGATTCTATAAAAAGTAATGCTAGGCTATCCCAAAACGCTGGAAAAATGCAACGTCATGTCACATAAGCGAAATCGTTATTGTGTGCCTATCTAATCTATCTTTCGTTTAAAGATAGATTTAGAAATAGACTCTAGATCTAGATTCAAGATTTAGATTCAAGTCTTGATCTAGATCTAGACTTTTCATGTCTTAATTACAATTAGATCTAAATTAAATGTTAAACGATTTTTAAAAATATGTTTTTTCATTGTAGTTTAGATCTATAGATTTTTGTCTTAATAAAAGTAATAAATACTAGAATCTAGATCTAGAAAACTAGAGACCTATGCAGTGTTTCTTCCAGACTTTTTTCTTTTCTCCTGGGGGAGAGGGGGCACTTGAAATTTTCGGGGGGGGGGGGGCGGTAGACTTTCTTCGGGGGGGGGGGGGGGGCGGACGCTGTTAAAAGTATATATTTTCTATATAAATTATATACATTTCGTTCGGGGGGGGGGGCGGTAAAAACATTTCGGGGGGCTTATCCCCCCCCCCCCCGAAAAATACCTATATCTAAAAGCCCATAGATTCTAGATCTATATCTAACTCTAGATCTACATCTGTTTCTTCCAGGCATCTCTTCACCGCCCCCCCCCCCCCCGAAATGGAATTTTTTATATAGTAAATATATACCTTTACAACATTGTCCGACACCCCCCCCCCCCCCCCCCGCCCCGAAAATGTTAAGTGCCCCACGGAGAAAATTGTTTAAGTGGAATAAACACTGATCTACAATGAAAAATTAATTTTAGGCACAAATTTAATAAGGCCCCTTTTTTCCGCCTCGTGCCTCGTTACGTTGTTTAACATAACCAATATACATAAGGCCCATGTCTCCATTTAATATTAGGTAAAAACTTTTCTAGTCTCTCCCCCCCCCCCCCTAATATTTCTTAGTTAAGATTTTTTTTTGCTATTATAATTATATTATTATAATTATATTTTTAAATTGTTTTATTTTTTTTTAATTTTGTTAAATAATAGATATAAGCTAGATCTACGTTCTAGAAAAAAAATGGCATAGATTCTAGTGATCTAACAAATAAAATACAAAACTAAAATGTTTTGATTTGATTAGCCTCTCGGTCCAGAAATAAAGGCTAAGCCTAAGGACTGTTGACCCACGTAGATCTAGAGTATTCTAGAGTCTAGATTCTAGACCTATTCTCAAAATGATTTACCTTTTTACTTTAGTTTACGAAATAGACCTGTGCCCTATCCGCGCCGTTTTGTTGCACTATTGACACTATTCTTTTGCTTCCCGTACTGTTATATTTCAATTAGGTTTCTTAATTATTTATGTAAAAAATATGTTCTGAAAAATAATTATGGCTTAGTGCCCTAAAAAATAAAACTACAGCACGGCTGTGTTGATTTGATGTTTCTGACCACATATTTACAAACTCTACTACACTGGGAATTTCCGGAAAAAAAAGATGCACACCAAGTAGATCGAAGTAGTTTATGCCCTTCTGTTGGTTGCGGAAAATAAAAATTGGAAATGATTTAATTTAAGAAAAGCCTCTGGAAAACTACAGAGAGAAACGTGGAACTTATGAATGAAAGGTCCTAAAAAGTAGTGGTAATTTATTAAATTAAACACGGTTAAACTACTTAAAGTGTAGCCTATTCATCAACTTTGCTATGTTGAGCATAAGAACGCAACCACACTTGTGAGCCTTTGAGGGTCGAAATTGAATATTTTCCCCGCAGTCCCCCCCCCCCCCCCTCCGAGAGTATTATCATTGATTCTCATATATATATATATATATATATATATATATATATATATATATATATATATATATATATATATATATATATATATATATATATCCTTTATGCATTACTATACCTTTCATCCAATCGCCATGAAACTTTGGGGAGTTGATGAGAATACTCTTTGGACAGTTCCTGTGTGTAAAAAAAAATAATTTTCGACCCTCAAAGGCTCACAATGACCGCTGAGGGTACCATAATAATAATAATCATTAAAAAAGTTTTAAAAAACCCACGTTTTCTGATTGAACTAAAAAGTAGAAAATAAATGCTATAGGCCCTACATCACAATAATGCAAGCGATCACTCTACTATAAGCGAGCAAAAACGTGGGGCGCCGAAGTAAAAGTTATATTACTATTGATTAGATAATACTATTGACTTTTATTAGGGAGCTTGTAGAGAGTCAACAGTATTAGAAACTGTAAGAAAATCACGGCGCCCCACGTTTTTGCTCGCTTATAGTAGAGTGATCGCTTGCATTATTGTGATGTAGGGCCTATAGCATTTATTTTCTACTTTTTAGTTCAATCAGAAAACGTGGGTTTTTTAAAACTTTTTTAATGATTATTATTTTCTACTTTTTAGTCTTTGTCTGTTTGTTTGCATTAAAATCTTGCTATCGATTTTATCTTTTCATCTTTTTTTGGGTAAACGAAGACAACTCGTAAAAAGACAACTCGTAAAAAGACAACTCGTAAAAAGACAACTCGTAAAAAGACAACTCGTAAAAAACACGTTGTTTGAATACGTTACTGACTAGAACACATAGATTTGAACCCGTGTCGAGTCGGATAGCAATCGTGTGCCCAACCACTCGACCATATCGTCTCCCCCAAACTGGCCTACCTCCTGTAAGTTTAAACTCGGTTCAAGCTAAATTCTCTGCCCCTAAGCCTGTGGCGACATGTGATCGTTCGCTTCACTGCGCGCGAGGTACGCGTCGCTGGTTTTTTTCTAATGGCTAGCAGAGGATAATTATATATATAGATTATATAGCGGTCTAAAATGCTCAATAAAATGTTTCCATTGATCAATTTAGTAATAATAACAATTGAATATTCAATGGTCATCCAAAAGAAAGCTTCCCTGAAAATTTCAGCGCGCTAGCTAACTGGGAAGTGCCAGAAATTTCGATCGCAAGATTTGATTGGAAAGACAAACACACAAACAGAGAAAGCAAGTTAAAGAAAACGTGGGAAAAAAAAAAATAAGGAATATTATTGAATTTTGAATGATCAGAGGAGTTAACCAAGCTTAGATTATTTCACGAAAAATATTAACTTGGTTGTTTCTCTTTGTCTATAAAAAAATTCTAGATCTATTAAAAAATAGCACAAAAGCAAAGCCTACAGTACAGTTCTAATAATTATCATTGAAAAATTTAAAAAAAAACACGTTTTCTGATTGAACTAAAAAGTAGAAAATAAATGCTATACATCACAATAATGCAAGCGATCACTCTACTATAAGCGATCGCAAACTGCGTGCGCATTATGACAAAAAATGAAAAACGTATTGTTTTGTTGTATTGTCATCGGAAACAAAGCTTCCCTGAAAATTTCAGCGCGCATAGCTAACTGGAAGTGCCCGAAATTTCGATCGCAAGATTTGATGGAAAGACAAACAAACAAACAAACAGACTTGAAAGCAAGTTAAAGAAAAAGTGGGAAAAAAATAATTAGTAGGGCCTATAGGCCTACTCCCGGGAAAATGCGCCACCAGCTTCCCTCACTAACAAGGTCGGGTCGCTTTTTTACCAGACACTTTGCCTTTTTATTTTGGTGTCACACAATTAATATAGAAAACAATTAAATAAGTCCGTAATGCAAAGTAGCAGTTAAAATTCATTCGACTGTGTTGGCCGTAATAAAACGAGGATTGGCAAAACCAAAAGTCGCTTTGTGGTTTTTTTTTGTGGGGGGGGGGGGGGGGGTGGGGGGTGGGGGGGGGGGGTGAAATGATCTCCTTGTAGTAATTTGTTTCACTTGACACCTCAGCCTCCATCCTCTGAAAAATGTGCAGTATCGGACAAGTCGTCTGGCCAGGTCTGTCTAGAGATTTAACAAGACTACATTTAGAATCTAGACGAGCATTGAGTCTCCACATTATAATCTTACCGGCCGAAGGCGACAGTGAAGACGTGGAAAATCGACATCCAAACTATATCTCGGTCTGGAACCTAATGGAGAAATCTCGACTTGATTGGGAACATCTACACTTGAACCACCTCCCAACCGAATACAAATGCCAGTTAGAGCAGTCAGTGGCGGAACTCACCCCCCCCCCCTCAACACCGCCCACTAAACGCAAAAAATAATTAATTCGGGACCCTCCTATTATATTTGTAGGCATGATTATATATATATAAATGCTATAGGTTAACGTTAAAATCGTTATTTTAAAAGCTGTCATCGCGGGTGGGGGGGGGGGGGCACCAACTAAACGTAAAATTTGCCTGAGGAAAAAGTTTTTTCTTTAGAATTGTAATAACTGACACGTCAATCCACATCTGGGGTGGGGTTGGCGGGCTGACACCAAATTTAATAATTTACTACAAATAGAATGATTTTTCGGGGGGGGGGGGGGGGTGACACCATTAAGTGCCGCACCAGGTGACACCCAACCTAGCGACGCCACTGGTTCATCTTACTATTTCTCAGCAGATTACAAGTTTGCGTAACTTGTTTTCTCGTGCTTAATGCTTTTGTCTGTCATGCTTCGTAATTGGTGCGAAAGGGGTGAGCGAATTTTCGACCACTTCTAACGCCATTCCAACTAACCAATTTTTTGGCACGTGGGTCAAGATCTTAATACAACGAACCAGTGTTTCTTCCAGACTTTTTTCTCCGGGGGGGGGCACTTGAAATTTTCGGGGGGGGCGGTAAACTTTCTTCGGGGGGGTGGGGGGGCGGACACTGTTAAAAGTATATATTTTCTATATTTTCTATATAAATTATATAAATTTCATTTCGTTCGGGGGGGGGGGGGGGCGGTAAAAAAAATTTCGGGGGGGGGGGGGGGGAGGGGGGGGGGGGGCTTCGCCCCCCCACCCCCCCCCCCCCCGAAGAGATGCCTGGAAGAAACTCTGCAACGAACGTACAATAGAGTTAATTAATATTTAAATAAATAATTACACTTTCCAAAAATAAAAGAATGTTTTCCGGGCTATTATACGCACATTGTTTGAGTTCATTTTGGTGTGAATGTTTTTTTAATCATACAACTTTATTGTATTTTAAAGCCCAATCTCATTGGTGAACGGAAAAAAAGTCACAGGAAAAAAAAAACAGAAAAAAACGTCAGTTTTTGTTAGGAAAAAAGTCACAGCAAAAAAGTCACAATGGAAAAATTTATCGGAAAAAAAGTCACAGAAATAAAGTCACAGAAAAAAAGTCACAAAAATCTTTTCAGAAATATTTTGATTTATTTGTTGAAAATTGTAAAATTGTGTATGTTTATTCTTGCGGGGTTGTATTTTTCGATAGTATATATTATTTATAGACTTTAAAAGCATTATGCTTTAATAACAATTGTAAGTAAAATACTATAAGATAATTTACCTAACAATCTCAACTTTTGTTACGTATTTAGTTAAATATGCGGTAGAAAAGCTAATTATAAAAGAAATTTAGGCACATCATTGTGTTTGCATATGTTTTGCCGTAGGGTTATACTCCGGTCGCCCTCCCTGATCAGTCGGCCTTGTCCGAACGTAGGCCCTATCATGTGTTTGTGGTCGTTTTGTGTCAAAGACAGTCTTTGAACTTTGTCGGCTTTCTGTTTTGATCCTATGCTTTGTTATGTTATGAGCGTAATAGATGTGGGCAGTAAAGGTGGTTGAACTAATCATAACTATTGTTGCAATGAGTTGAGGGCAGCAAGTCAGATGAACTTACCATTTCATGGTAATGTAATGTTAGTATTTAAAAAAAGCCACAATGAAAACCGAGGACGTTGGAACAATCTATAAATGCTATTAATATTATGTTTAACATAATTACAATCTACATAATTGATACTAAATATTTCTAGATGAATTCTAAAAATTACCATGCGTATACAACATACAAAAATTATATTACAATTAATTGATCCTAAGTTAATTTGCACTCTCTGAATATATAATTTCTAAAAGTAGTATCAGATTCCTTGCAAATATATATTTGAGACTTTTTTCCTGTGACCTTTTTTTCCTGGTGACTTTTTATCTGTGTTTTTTTCCCTGTGTTTTCCATACTGGAGAATAGCGTTTAATAATGCGTCATTTCTGGATGGATGTGTGGATGTGTATCCGCAGCCATTAAGTCGTATCTCCTCCTCAACGAAGCAATATCGAGGACTAGTTCCAAAAGTAAATATGTTAAGCAAGTTCCAAGGATGATTGTGGGCCAAAAAAAATTCCCGGAATTCCTTCCTGGATTTCCCGGAAAAGTAAAAAAAAAACTCGAAAAAAATGGTGTTTTTGGCCCATATCTCGGAAACCAGACCACTTAGCGACTTGAAAACATTTACCAATCGATTCCTGTCATAATTTAGAACAATATTGCCGAAGAAAGTTTTCAAAAATATCCTTTCGTTCGGTCACAAACTTT